ACTCGGCCCTTGATGGGTATCTCTCCTCTGCTGAGACATACTGTGGAGAGCGGCGGCTTCGGCCGTTTCCGCCAACGAAGTTCCTACAGCGCGCCTGCGTTCGTCTTCTTCCGAGTCCGAGTACGAGCTAGCGCGCTTACGAGCAGGCCTCACGGAGAGAGGAGGGGGGAGGTCAAGGTCCGAAAGGAGGAGAGGGCAAAACACTGACAGTTCGCGTCGCTTAGGGTGGCCTCCACGAGCGACGACGGACCAAACCCACTTGCCGAACCTGGAGGGCTTGCCAACACATCGCTCCATGAGGCCCTTAAAGCGGCCATGGGAGGAGTAACACTTACATGCCGTACATATGAGCAGGAGTGCTTGGTCACCGCATTCAAAGGCGACGCAGCGGTGACCAAGAGAGGCTATCTGCTCCACTGGCAGGTCTCGCGGGCCAGGGCAGACGCTAGGCGGAGGCTTACGCGGCCACTTTTGACGGACAACTTTCAAGCAGCGCACACAACGCCAGAAAGTGCCCAAGTGGAGCCAGAGGTGACTAGGTCCCGCGATCCGCACCGGCTGCTGAGGCTTAACGTATTCCACTTCACCGAAATCTCGCAAAGACTGAAACTTCGGGAGGAGGTGCATAGCAAGCAAGCAAAAAGCCTTGGCATATTTCACGTCCCGCTCAACCTCCGCCTCTATATCGGGGTCCGTGGGGTGGCGGGCAAGGGCCGCCTTAGCTAGATGATCCGCGTCATCGTTGCCAAGGCGCCAGAACCGAATTTCATCAGACACTTCGGGGTCATCGAGCGGCTGGTGGGCTCGAACGTGAGAGACCGAGGTGAGAAATTTGAAACCATCGGCTGCACGAGCCTGCAGCAGATGCCCCGAGTAGCATTTCTTGTCCGAAAGCTGAGCGGCTCTATCCTGGGCGAAAGACCGCACGACATTCTCACAATCAGAGATGAGCGAGGATTGACCTTCGAGCAACTGGACCCCCGCAAGAGACGCACAGAACTCTCCCGCCTGGGGCGTTTGCGGGAGGTGCGCCCACACGGGGCCCGAAACACTAGCCAGACGAGTTTTGTCAGGGGAATACAAAACGACGCTCCAGGCAGCCCGAGACATTTCTTTAATAATACGTCGGGTGCAAGACCCGTCTACAAAGACAACACCTGAAAAATCTGGCAGGGGAGGGGGCACGTGCCAGACAACTTCGAGCTCATCGTCGTCCATGTGCACAGGGGGCGGGCAGCGGTCTCCAGGGTGGGGGATGGCGCCACGGGTGACGACGAACAACTTATCAGACGAGCTGACATAGTCCAAGACGCCCTCGAGAAGCTCCTCCCTCACCAACTCCTTCCTTTCCTGATCCAGGGCTGGGCACTGCCAAAGACGGTGGAAGATCGAATCCGTCGAGGACCCACACAGCTCGCAAGATTGAGGGAACTGGTAGCCGCGGCTGCGCGCCATCGTACGCGTCCAGATCCCGTCGCAGGCACAGGCGCGAAGGGTCCCCTTCTGCAACGCCGTGAACTTAGAGGAGGCCAAGGAAGAGGAGACGACGTCGAAGGACAGACGATCATGCACGAAATGATGTTTACGAGAAATGTCCCTCTCGAGTCTCCTGAGGACAGCAGAACGAAGATGAGTCCTGAGAAGGCGGGGAGAGGTGTAAAACAGCTCGTGCAGATGGCCAAGGTCGTCCTGCAGACGGTTGAAATCTAGCATGATCCATCCCAATCTATCTAAAGTCAGCCGAATGGCAGAGAGGGGGCCAGAAACTCCCCTCCACGTGGGCTGAGGTCTATTCCAGACAGCCTGCCAGTACCGCCGAAGCTGAGGAATCGTCAAAGCGGCTGGGTGAAGGCTACTCGCAGAGGCCCACACTTCCCTATGCCACCTGGTGACACACGCGACTTGGGTCAACCAAGACGGGTCGCCCTCAAGAAGCATAAGGGTGGACAGAGATCTCTGGCCCGCCGATGGTTTCAGCAACCGACCGAGGGAACGACGGAGCCCCAGAAGCTCCGAGGGGTTCAATCCGAAGCACTCAGCACCATAACTGGACACAGGGAGGGGTCCCGCGACCCACAAGCGACGCAGACGACGGCGACTGAGGTGACGAGATAAACGCCCCAACCTGGCCGCACGGGCCTCCCCATCACGCCTCCGTCTCTTGGCCCTGGAGTTTCGGCCCTGGGAGCGCAAGGGGCGACCCTGCGTGTCATCCACCCCCAAATTGACTCCTGAGGTGACGAGGGGCCCCGAAAGCTCCAACCCAAGCTTTTGTTGAATTTCCAACCCCGCTCCTCGGTGACTGGAAATCAGCGTGGCCTTGTCGGCCGAGAGGGCGGCGCCGATGTCATCGGCGGCCTGCTGCAAATGACGAGCCCCATCCACGACACCTTGCACCACCTCTTGATAATCTCCGACCGCCGAAATGCCACTGTCATCAATATACAACTTAAAGTCGACCACTGGGTGCCAAGGTATCGCATCAAGGGGATCCAAAGCGTTGATCCTAATCATAGTAGTGGCTAGGCTGCAGCCAGCCACCACACCACTCAGGGCGAAAACCCCCCCAGACACCATGCCCTGGAGCGTGAGGTGCCTGACGGAGGAATAGGCCCTGATGGCGAGGCGGCTGACCGCAAGCGGAAAGTCGTGCTTACAACATCGGAGCTGTAGCTGGTCCAGCGGCAACAACTCATAGTATTTGAAGAAATCCCATAACAGATTCACCGCGATCTTGGAGGATGCCACACCAGCTTCAGCTCGGAGCAATTGTCTCCACACGGTGTCTCCTGCACCTGTGAAGGATCCTGCGGCAAAATAAGGTCTGGCGTGGGAGAGCTCCCAGGCATCAGCAATGGGACGTCTGGCTTTGGCCCACACCCTGTAGGGCGAGGTGAAGAGACCGATGGGGCGCACACCCACTGGCTGCTTGGGAATGAGAAACATGATGACAATCGCCAACTGCGCGGGCAAAAACCCCGAAGTCTCCATGACCAGGAAAAGGTCCAGAAGACATTGGAGACCGTCGTCACACAACCATCCCAGGTGCCGAATGTGGAAACCATCAGTGGACACCGCGGACCTCTCCTTGTGCCGCAAGCAGATTTTTCGAACCGCGTCCAGCTCGAGGCGAGGAAGATCAGGAGCAGGCCGAAACACAGCAGGAGGGGGAGGCGGTTGCGGCGAGGCCCTCCAGAAGGATTGATACCGAAGAGCCTCCGACGCGAGAAGACTCTGCGGATCGCTAACAATCTTGCCGCCAACAGACAGGACAGTGCATGGCTGCCAAGGCGTGGGGGCCTTGGTCGCAATATGCACGTTGCGACCTCCATTGTCAATGCCCTTGAGCAACCAAGAACGCCAGGCCTGAGAGGCTTGCCCTCGGGCCACCTGCTCAGCGGAGGTGAGGGCAGCTCGGACCAGACCCCGAAACTCACTGATCCTGCAACCGTGGCCCTCGGGCCAGGGGTGGAGCGACGAGGAGTAGCAACAGTCCAAAGCCCGTTCAAACAGCGGCCGATGTTCACCCTGGTGCTTGAGAATGGTCGGCGGGACGGCGAAGCCGTAGGAAATAGCATCAGAGAGGCCATGCAGCATCGGGTGCTGGACACTGGCCTCAAGCATGAGAATGGCTTTCCATAGCCACCTAACCGAAACCAACTCAGGCTGGCGGGGGGGATTAACATCGCGAAGGTACACAGGTTGCCAGATGATGTCAGGGACGGCCCCTCGGGACCCGCCTTTCCTAAGATCAACTCCCGCCGACTTGGCAACCTCTCCTTCCGCCAGGTCCGCCCAGATCCTGTACGCACTGTTAAGCAAGAGCTGGGTGTCCTCCCCCTTACCAGCCCGAGAAGCAGCCAGGGCCTCGTGGATAGCCTCCTTAGCTGCCGAATAGTCGGGTGGTGGCCCTACGGGCCCGATCAGCCGAGCAACAGGGATCCGCTGCGGCCGCGCGAGCGTCATCGCTCGGAGCTTCCCATACTGCGGGAACAGGGTCATCCTAACAGGCCAGTGCGGCGAGAGGTCCCCATCGGAGCTGCGGTCGAGGGACTGGATAGCGGTACTAAGCCCAGGACTAGCCACAAAGTAATCATTCATCCTCATTCCTCCCGTTGTGTGACAGGTTCCCGAGCAGGACGGGTAGAGGATGACCCCACCATCACCCTGCTTTGGAGGAAAGCCATGATCTCGTAACTCAATCGGGGATAAGTTGAAATCTCCACCAATAAGCCAAGGAAGACAGGAGCTGGTGGAAGCGTACCCTGCATCCGACAACAACTGCTGGTTGAACTGGTCGATGCCAGATCCGACTCGAAGATATAAGGACGTGACAGCGAACTCGAGGCCTCCTGGGATCCCCACGATTCCAGAGATAACCCGAGACGGTGTAGGAGAAGCTGGCCCATGATGCAAGCCCAGGAAGTCACGGACGAGGATTGCCACGCCACCCTTTGACCCCGAGCCCTCACCTGGAGCCGCTGGGCCCCATATGCCACGCCATCTGCGCCTAGAGGCCCACGCGCTAGCTTGATTTAAACGCTCCCCTGCCAGAAGGTGATGCTCCTGCATGCACACCACATGCGCAGAAGTCCTTAACAAAAACTTTTGCCCCGAAGCCCACCCTGAGACATTAGCGGTTTCAAAAATCAGGGCGAGTTGGGACATACCTTCAGGAGGAGGGGGGGGGCTCAGAAGGAGGAGGGGAGGTAGTGGTCCCCCCAGGGTCCACCTTGGGCATCTTAGGCTGGGCAGGGGATAAAAACTTCGAGACCTGCCGAGCACACAGTTTGACCCAATGGAGACGGGACCAAAACTGAGAGATGGTGGGCTGGCCTAGCCCTTCCAAGATACTAAAGTTAATGAAAGCTGGACTCCCCCCCTCAGGCCGCTGACGAGCCACCTGCGGGGGGGGAATCCCCTGGAGACTGTTGCAAGATGTTGGCGGCTGCCTGGCGAGTGGCACGGCGGGCGATCTCCTCCTCGGAGGTCGCTGTAGCCGAGTGCTCGCCGCCAGGCGGGGCTCCACCACCACCTCCTGCAGGCTCAGAAGCGGCCGAGGGCTCAGCAGGTGCGTCTGCAGCTTGGGCGGGTGCAGCAGCAGCCTGCCCGCCAGGAAGAGCAGAGCTGTCATGAGCACGACGCTTCTTTTGCAGCCGTCCGATGAGCTTCTGGTGTTCTTCTTTGGCGGCCTTGATCTTCTCAGCGGCTGCCCCGAAGAGGGTACCCACGGCTGCCTTGATGTCGGCCTGCAGGGTGTCCATGCGTTTCTTTGCCTCGTCTTTGGTAGTCTGATCCAACTCGTACTCATCACCGTCGAGCTGCCCGAAGGTGCCCAGCGAAATGGGCAAGTCGGACTTCCCTTCGAGGATGTCGTCAATCGAGATGGTGACAACACTGGGGACTGGCGTAGCAGGAGAAGCCCTGGGCTCGCCAGGTCCGCAGGTGTTGGCGTGGAGGGCGCGCACCAGCTGGGTGTGCTCGGCCTCGGCGGCCTCCAAGTCAGAGTTGAGCTTGTGGACCCAGTTCCTCTGCTCGGCGAGCTGGGTCTCGAGGCGCTGGTAGTGGCCGACGGCGCGCTCGAGCTTGCCCTCCAATGCGCGCACGGACTGGAAAGCCGCGTTGACACGGTGCTGGAGGGGCGGGCCGATGGTTGCCGCCGCCTGCTGCGCCTTCCGAACCTCGAGGAGCTTGGAGTAGGAGGCCGCACCGTTGGCGTCGCCAATGCGAGTGAGGGAGTCGATGATCGCCTGGATGTCCTCGACCTTCGCCTCAGGCGAGGCCGAGGCGGGCACCACTGCGCCAGGAGCCAAGCGCTGAGGCCCAGGACGGGCAGGAAGGGGTGGAGCGGCCTCGGTCGACTCGGTCGCGCGCGCAGCGGTGCCTGGGGCGATGCCGTCCTGCCAGTCCTGCCACCAAACGTCTCCGCCCTCGTCTCCATTACGTCCAGACCACTCGCAAAACTCACTGTATGGCGACCTACAATGCTTGCACCTCCACCAATGAGCAAGGTTCCTTTTACATCCACACTTCGTGCAGATCCACCGCTGGCCAGAGCCATTGCCCTTGGCCATCGAACTGAAAATGCAACCGTCCCCGCGTTCACCGCCGATGGGCGGCGCTCAAGAGTGCACAAATGCTTGGTGCAGCCCGGGGAAAGATCTGACTGAGCGCCGAAATCGCTCGAGCCAAATTGCTCTTGAGATGATGATGAGGAGGAGGAAAAGGAGGAGGAGGAGGAGGAGGAGGGAGGAGGAGGAGGAGGAGGCGAAGGAGGAAGGCAGGAGGAGAGGAGGGCATCGCAGGCATCTTGCCACCTGCATCGAAAGCGCCTTTTGTTTTCCCAGGAGCGACCCTCCTGCAGCCCCGCTGGTGGGCGCCTCCAGCCGGCGCTCGGCCCTCTCTCGCTCGGGCGGCCAGGGGCGGGGGCGGAGCAGGAGAAGGAGAAGGAGAAGGAGGAGGAGGAGGAGGAGGAGGAGGAGGAGAGTGAGATGAGAGGAGGAGGAGGTAGGGATGAGGAGGAGGAGGAGGAACGAGGAGGAGGAGGAGGAGGAGGATTGAGGAGGAGGAGGAAGGAGGGAGGAGGAGGAAGGAGGGGAGGAGGAAGAAGAGAAGTTGGGGATTAGGAAGGAGGAGGAGGAGGAGGAGGAGGATGAGATGGTTGGGGTGGGGAAGGGGGGGGGGGGGAAAAAGGGGAAGGGTGAGAAGGGGGAGAAGGGGAGAGGAAGGAAAAGGGGGAGGAGGAGGAGGGAGGAGGAGGAGTTGGGAGGACGGGGAGGAGGAGGAGGGGAGGAGGAGGAGGAGGAGTTGGAGGAGGAGGGGAGGAGGAAAGGAGGAGGAGGAGGAGGGAGGAGGAGGAGGAGAAGACGAGGAGAGAATGAGGGAGGAGGAGGAGGGGAGAGAGAGAGGAGAGGAAGGAGCGGAGGAGGGGGTGGAGAAGAGGAAAGAGGGAGGAGGAGGAGGAGGAGGAGGGAGGAGGAGGAGGCGAAGGAGGAACAGGAGGAGGAGAGGGAGGAGCAGGAGGGGGAGGGGGGCGGGAACACTGAGGTGGCAGGGCGAGACGACGAGGATGGAGGGATCTGGAGAAATCGAGCCCCGATCCTCGAACGGGGGGGGAAATACGGCCCAGGGTAGACCCAAGACTCGTTCATGATATTGCAATCGACCCTCCCCCCGAGGTCCCTCAGAAAGTTCCACAAGAATGCATCCTCACTGAGGGGAGGGCCCCGACGGATGACGACCGGTTGCAAATCCTGAACTGTGCCAGGGCGTCAATGCTGGGACTCCAACTCCGCGAGTCACCCGTACTGTTGCGTCTTGACGACCCTGAATCGCGCCATACCACAATGTCTGGGACTTGAACACCAAGAATGAACGTAACTGTTGCGCCCTGACAATCCTGCATCGTGCCAAATCAAAATTTGGGAAATTCAAGCCATGAAGCTCAAGGTCAAGCCCGTGCGCCGGAAGGCGAGCCCATGAAGGGCGCAGGCGGTGGCAATCGGCAGCGTGCTATACACGCGCGCGCCACGATGAAACAGCACGTGCGTCAGAGCGGGGGGAACTCATTCGCATGGCGTGCTCATCGGGAATGGCAGCGCAAATTCTGAAAATGGCCATTGAGAGCCGATCATACGGCCGAAATCCTCCAATTTGCTTGTCCATGTGAGACTCGGCCAGCCTGCTCTACGACGACGCGCGGTGGAAGTCCTTCCAACTGTACTAAGCTCTTCAGACGAGCGTGCGCGGCGCTACGGCAAGAGCCACATTTTGAAAAGGAACTGCCCTCCATCTGTAAAGCTGCTGAGTTTCATAATAAATTTGTATATATATATATATATATATACGTAGCACCCCGCAATTGCGGATAAGAGTGAGGGGGCGGGCGCGGGCGACGCGGGCGTCGTCGAGCCGGCGGACCTCGTGGCCCCCACCTTCCCTGTCGATGGCGCTGTCCTCCTCTTCCTCCTCCTCCTCCTCCTCTTCCTCGTCCTCGTCCTCATCGTCATCGTCATCCTCCTCCTCCACCTCGTCCTGCTCCTCCTCCTCCTCTTCTTCCTCGTCCTCCCTCTCCCCCCCTCGTCCTTTCATCATCGTCCTCCCATTGTCGTCCTCCCCTTCATCGGCCTCCATCATCGTCCTCCCATTGACGTCCATCATCATCATCATCATCATCATCATCCTCATCATCATCATCATCAGCATCATCATCATCATCACCATCAACATCACCATCACCATCACCATCACCATCATCATCATCATCATCAGCATCAGCATCATCATCATCATCATCATCATCATCATCATCTTCATCTTCCCCCTCCTCCCCCTCCTCGTTTTCCTCCTCCCCCTCCTCCCCCTCCTCGTCTTCCTCCTCCCCCTCCTCCCCCTCCTCGTCCTCCTGCTCCTCCTCCTTTTCTTTCTCCACATTATCCTTACATCCTCTCTTCTTCCGCGTTCTCCTCGTCCCCTGTTTACTCCTCCTGCATCCCCCTCCTTTCCCAAGATAACTGCAACGCAATCCTTTTTTTCCACTTTATGATCCCCGCCTTCTTTGATTAAGGCAACTCGCCAGGGCAGAGTTGCTGGACGGGCTGGTGTGGATGCGCGGGGCTTGAAGAGGTCCTTGCGGGCTCAGGCGGCATGCAAAAATCCGCCGCCGCGCTTGTGCGGCATTGGTTTGTTCAGTGAACGTGGTTTAGGCCGCGGGTGGGTCGCGGGCTCTCCACCTCCACCTGGAAGGAATGCAAAAGCAGCCCGACGCAGGCGCCCCAAAAATTGGTTTGTACACTGAACGTGGTCTGGGTCGCGGGTGGGCCGCGGGTTCTCCACCGGGAACGAATGCAAAAGGTGCCCGCCGCAGGCGCCGAAAAATGAGGTTTGTACCCTGAACGTGGTCGCGGGTGGGCCGCGGGCTCTCCACCTGAAACGAATGCAAAAGATGCCCGCCGCAGGCGCCGAAAAATGTGGTTTGTACCCTGAACGTGGTTTGGGTCGCGGGTTGGTCGCGAGTTGATCGCGGGGTGGGTCGCGGGCTCTCCACCTGGAAGGAATGCAAAAAAAGCCCGCCGCAGGCGCCGAAAATGTTGGTTTGCACCTTGAACGTGGTTTGGGTCGCGGGTGGGTCGCGGGTGGGTCGCGGGGTGGGTCGCGGGTGGGTCGCGGGTGGGTCGCGGGTGGGTCGCGGGTGGGTCGCGGGTGGATCGCGGGGTGGGCCGCGGGGGGGTCGCGGGGTGGGTCGCGGGGTGGCTCGCGGGGTGGCTCGCGGGGTGGGTCGCGGGGTGGGTCGCGGGTGGGTCGCGGGTGGGTCGCGGGTGGGTCGCGGGGTGGGTCGCGGGGTGGGTCGCGGGTGGGTCGCGGGGTGGGTCGCGGGTGGGTCGCGGGGTGGGTCGCGGGTGGGTCGCGGGGTGGGTCGCGGGTGGGTCGCGGAGTCGCTCTTGGGTGGGACGACGACAACAACAACAACAACAAGACGAAGCAGAATCCGCGCCACGGATCCTCACTTCATCCACGCACCCAGGGACAGTGAATGACCGTTCGGGCCCCCTCACTCTGATATATGTATATGTATATATATATGTATATATATATGTATGTGTGTATATATATGCGTGTCTGTATATTCATGATGAAAAAGTTATGCGCCGCGCTGAGAACCACATTTTGAAGCAGGCCCGCCCTCCATCTGTTGAGCTGCTGCAAACTTTGAACACGAATGCGCGCAGCGCAAAAACGAATAACACCACTTTGAAAACCGCACGCCCTCCATCCGTGAAGCTTTTACGAATTTCAAGTTTCAGAATCATACGCCCTTTCAACATGCCTCGGGTTGCGGCATGGAGCAGCTGCGTATCAGGAGAAGGAATGGAGGTGGAGGAGGAGGAGAAACCAGGGGGAGAACCAGCAGCAGGAAGGAGAACAGCGAGGATGAAAAAGAGGTGGGGGAAGGACAGACATGCGAGGGCTCCATACACTCCAAATCTCTTGGCCCTGGAGC